GCTGGGGAAGAGGGGCTCGGGGGGCTGACGCGCCCCGCGGCTGCCTTGGCAGGTGCGGGCCAGTGCCATCGCCCAGGACGCGGACCAGAACTACGACTACGCCAGCAACAGCGTGGTGCTGCACCTGGACTCCGGCGACGAGGTGTACGTCAAGCTGGACGGAGGCAAAGCGCACGGAGGCAACAACAATAAGTACAGCACTTTCTCTGGCTTTCTTTTATACCCCGATTAACGCAAAGCGAGCGACACGACGCAACTGGCCCCGCCGCTGATAGCTGTGGGGTCGGTTGGCGTTTCTGTACCCTGTCGTGCCGATGTTCCTGCTGGTGTCCGCTGTCTCCGCAGGTCACTTCAGCTTCATTATCAGTTTGTATGGTTGGGTTTTTTTTTTACGCCTGTGGAAACGAATTTGAAGTGAAACAAAGCGATCCCCTTCCTCGCTCTCCCCCATTTCCTCTGAACCCCCTCTCCCTTTGTCAGCCTCAGTGTTTTGTGTGTCACATGAGGAACTTGGCATCTTGAAACTCTCGAGTGGTTCCCGGGGGGTGTAAGAGAGCCCAGAGTTCAGACTGTGCCGCACACAGTATTTGAACCGGTCGCATTTTTTCGTCAATGAGTATTGATGATGATGATGATGAATTTTCAGATCGACTATTCGCGAAGTGGGACTGGACCGTAACTGGTTTTTCCTCTGCTGCTTTGTTTGTATGGGGTCAAGTGCAAACTTTTCTTTTCTGTGCAATGCAATGCTCGTGTGAATGATGGTGTCATTAACGTCAAACCTGTTCCTGTCTGCAAAAGTATTCAGTCATTGACCACAATCACCAAAATATCACATTAAATTATGTTTTTAGACAATGCCTTCTTGCTGTCTGTCTCTTCCAGTGCTGCGAAGGAGCGCTGTGGTGGTGCCAGGGGAGGGCGGGAGGTAAAGGAGGGGGTCACTTCAGTCCCTTAGGTTTGCAGCAAAATTTAAAGTTAGGATGGGGGCACCTTGCCTAGGTCTTGATTGTGATTCAGAGGGGCTGGGAAGAAGCAGAGGGAGAGGGAGAAAGCCTCACCTTTATGCAGTTTCGTAAAAAGGCAGCACATGGTCACAAAGAAGTGAAAGTGGGGGTGTGGAGCGGATCTCCTAAACGGCTTTTACTGGGTCTGAGCCTGATCCAGAGGTTAGTGAAGTATAGGAAAAGCGGTTTAATCAGCAGTTACGGAAAGCTGGGTTCCTGTAACACACTTGACAAGTGTAAGAAGGCAGCGGGGGAGACAGTCTGTCTAGACCCCTGCACTTGCAGTGCGTATATGGGTTGGAAACCACACCTGACTGTAGGTGGGTCTGCACAGTCCCTGAGACGGCCTGGGAGAGAAAGCTCACCAAAGATGGACAGATTCAGACCATGTGGGAAGGTTTTCTCCTGCTGGTCTGTGGTAAATCCCAGCCACCCTGTGTACTTCTAAAAGTGCGCAGGTGTGTAACTAGTGCGTGCGGTCCTGAGCCTTTGGTGGAGGAGGTGAATCTTTCATCAACACCCCAGTCGGTAACCTCTTCAGTTTGGGTAAGTTGGGGTTGCTCTGCTGAAGCTAAAAGAGCTAAGCTGATTTACAGCAGTGCTTACTTTCATTTTATTGCCTTACCATTTCATTTTTCCCTCCTGAAGCTCTTACGTCCCTATCAGCTTACTGCCCTTTGCAGCATTAGTGCAGTTTCACAGGTAGGAGGGACAGGAGCTGGACTGCAACGGCTCTGCCCAGGCTGGAGCTTTGCCCCTGCCCTGGCGTTGCAGAAGGAAAGGGAACCACAGCCAGCGTGGACTTATTCCAGCCCCACTTTGGGGCAGCCCAGTGATGACTGAGTTCTTATAGTCTCCTCTGTCTCCTACCTAGTCCTCGGTGGGTATTGTCTTCTTGTTGGCTGGAAGAGGAGGGTCAGAGAGAGAAAGCAATTCCTCCCTTCATCCTGTCCTCAAACATCCCCCAGCTGAGGGAAGCAGAGTTCATAACCAGGTACATGTGTTAGACACTTATCAATCTCTAATGTCTTGTCGATTTGTACTATTTAGAATATGATTAAAACCAGTGTCTGGGACCCAAATGAAGTATAATTGCTATGGATCCTCAATTCCCCCTAGATCCGTAATCCTTTTTGACTATTCCTCCCCTCCCCTCCGATGAAATGGAGCTTAGACACAAAGCCCTCGGTTTAAATTTCAAAAAATTAAAATTGACATGCAGCAGCATTAGCGGGAGCCAGGAGGAATTCTAAGGAGGTGCCTGGGCTCTGCTTTATCCTTTGCATTAAGAAGCAATTTGTACTTCTAACAAAGACCCAACTGTTCCCCCTTGGCAAAAGGGCAATGAAGATGCCTTGCAAGGGAATTGCTGTTCACAATACTTAAATAAATTTGAATCTTAGATTTTTAAATCTGTATTCCCTGGTGGAGCCTTCTCCTCGCAATTCAAATGCAGGGCTAGCGGTGTGTGCCTGCCAAGGTGTCAGTAGCTAAGCGGATGATGGATTGATGAGGCAATGGGAAGACACAGGCTCACAGTGGCGGTTTGCCCCGACAGTGATCTATGTATCTGCACATTATCAATGTCATGAGGAGGCTTGAACCACCCTCGCTAGATGTCTCATTTTCCACTTATCTCTTATGTACTAATTATCAGGCTGGATTATTCCCCAGGATAGAAACAAAAAAAAATGCTCGTTGCCACTCCACTGACAGTTTACACAATCGATAGAATGAACGTCTCCCTCGGCTGCTCGCAGGCTTTTTTGTTTCCTGTTCTCATCGCAGGGTCCTCCGAGATTACCCCTGTGGGTGGTTGATGGCTTTCACCCAGCATCTGCGGCGGTGGTGCTTGGGCAGGCTCCTCCATCCCAGTCATCTCGGTAGTAGCTCAATGTGTGGGTTGGGTTTTTTTTCTGAAGTAACACAGGGAAAAGCAACCGAGAGATGAAAAACTTCAGTGCTTGGTGGTGCAGCCGTCCAGAAAAGCAGAGGCAACATTGCGGATGGGGATGGCAGTCCCTGTGCTGCGGGTGGCTGTGGGTGAGACCAGGGTCGTGGGCAGCCCAGCAAGCAGCCTGGGGTGGGCTCCTGACCCTCTGGGCTTCGGCTGCATCCTCCTCCGCTTAGGTGTGTTCCGTGGGCTATATATGTTTTGTGGCACAAAGGGAAGGGGCTGTTTGTAGCAAGGATACCCTGGTCCCCTGGTTTGGATCAAAGGAGGAGAATTAGTGTCTACTCAGAGGCTGGCTTCAGTGTTCTCTGGGACCAGCTTTCCCAAGTGATACTGGTATCTCAAACAACCATTAGGCAGTGTCTGCTCTGGAGATCTGACCCCTCAGAGGTGTTATTTTACTTGATGACTAAAGCAAATGCTTTTAAAAATTGTGAAGTGGTTAGATGTGATGCAAATAGGGAAACCTCCCTGAAAGGAGTAGAAGGTTGGAGTTTTAGACAAAGGGTACTTCTGTTTTGTGCTCAAGTTAAAGTAATAATAAAAAAGTTAAGATAAAAAAAAATAGACAGGTATTCATGTTCTCAAAGCAACTTAGATACTGCAGCAATAAAGCCCTGATCTTTGTGCTACTGATGTGAATCCTTGAGCCTTGTACCGTGCCTGGGCAGCACCGGCTGTGGAAAGGATCCCTGGAAAAGAGGGGAGCAGGGAGACACCGAAGCACACAAAACAACGTGGAAGGGGAAACAGTGATGCTGCTGAGAGCCCCGAGAGGGGTGCCAGCCACCCCTCGTCTGCAGCCATTCCTGGAGGAAGGCGTTTGGGTTACTCTGCTCCCCTGCAAGCCAGCGGGCTCGTGGCTGGGCACTTGTTTGCTTCTGTTTTGACCTTCATTGGCTTGGGGAGCTCCTGGCAAGTCTCTAGCGAGATGGGTGAGGAAATCCTGCTTTGGCTAGAGTGAAGCACGTTAGCTGCTGGGGCTAAGTTTTCACCAGCCGGTGTACAGAAAGAGTTTTCTGAGGATGCCCGTGCTGCAAGGGCAGCTGGGTGTCTGATATCCCCTGCAAACGCTGATGCCTCTGTATTTTTCAGGATCTGGGCTCACAGATTTTCTCCTTGATGCTCATCCCTTTGTGGAGTGATGCCTGGGTTGACGGGGCCACAGTGGCCCGCAGCGGGGCAGGAGAGCCCCACGTCTGGGTTCTCCTTTTTCCCTTCTGCTGTTAGAAAAGTAAAGTGCTGCTTCTTGTGCCTCATGGCTTTACACATGTGCATTGAGCCACACTTTGGTCTTGAGCTTACTGCTTTTGAAACTCACTCTGGGCATTTTTCTCAGAGATTTAATGCCTGCCTATCTCCTTGCTTGGCTCCTTCAGCGGCTTACGGTGCTGGGATGGGTTTAATCTGTGAACTCATAAAGTAGGGGGGAAGGGTTTGGTGGATGCTTATGTGATCTTTTTGTGTTTATGCCACAGATTAATTATATTAAAGGGGTATGTGGCAGATAGAGGCAAAATGGCATAGAAATCTCTTTTAAATCTGTTTGTGTCAAATACCTTTTTTCTGTAACATGCCATTTTTTTTTCCTTATTGTGATTGGACTGAACTCTGGGAAAAATTCCCGCTAAGATCCTGTGCCTTAGTATTGTCTCTGGGATAAAGCAGCCTGTCAACTGAATCTTCACTGACTTTGAGACTACAAGGAGTTTGGTCCTTTTTACTGTGAATGTCTGCATCATGCAGAGACGTGGAAGATTAATTACACACGAGAGAGATGAACTGTTATCGTGTGGACACCCTGGCACTTACAGGTGAGAGCCTGCTCTCGGCTGGTTTCACGTCTAATGGCAGAAGGAGGTTCAGCTTCATTGTAAGCCATGGCTAACATGCAAATGGGGTCCCGTTTCTCTAGACCGTGCCAGTTTAGAAGTTAAACCCTTGGTCACGTAGTAGGTGCCACAGCAGAAGTGGGGGAGATGCTTGACTATTTCTCGAGCCCACTACTCGCCCTTGAGCAAGCTTCGGTTTTGAAGGCTGCGTGGGGGATTAAAGCAGGGAGCTGAGCTCCTTCCTATTCCTCTTGATCTAGAACCAGATTGTTTTTTACCGGCCTTGACGATGAATTACGAAGAGGCCAGTAGAGGGCAATGCTGGTTCCCTGGAATAGCCTGGGGGACAGCGGTACTACCTGCTGGGCAGGCAAGATGTTGAGGCTGCGGTATGATTTGATGTGCTAGGCTGGAACATACACCGAAATCCCCCTTCTTT